ACCTGCCTGAGTAATGGCGTTGGGGCATGAATCATGAATGCGCTTCTAGCCAAATATTGAAGGAAGGAAGGAATCCCAGCACAGGTTAGGTACATGTCACATCTGGTACTTTTATATATATTTATATATATTTTATATATATTTTATATACATATATCATCATTTGATCGCCGCACCTGCGCACTACGGTCAAAATACACTCCTCGAACATCGTCCATCCTTCCATTCTGGGACAGGCTTCTCTTATAGGCAGCATAGAGTGATTAGCAATATAGTAGTATTACATATTTGTACGAATCGAAATAAAGGTTATGTTAGACAAAACAAAGTCATTTTTTCGTAATTTCCGATACATTTTAGTGAATTTTATGTGTGTAATGTTATGAGAAGAAAAATATTCCGTGATGTGACATTATGAATCAGCTGATAGTTTCTTTTTTCAATAAATAATTAGGAACGTCCAAACGACGTTCCAAATGTCACTCAACGATCGACTGATAGCAATTGATAGTGAGTTGTTTCGACTGCACTTTCTACACCTTTATTTTCTCTCTCTTTCTCTCTCTCTGCAAAAATGTATATATTTATTTTATTTTAAGTACGGAGAAAGTGCAACCACAGGCATCATGTTTTACTTATGCATTTATGTATATTGCACCGCAAGAGACTGATAACAAACAAGAAAATGGAAGAAAACAAAGGATAACGTAGGATGTAAAATGCATATCGAATTCACCGTCATTTGGAAAGAAATGAGAAAGTATATACTTATACTATAATTAAGTTTGTTCTATTTTAATCATTTCCGATTAATTGTTACGCTAACATATTATTGCAGTCCCGACTAATAATAGCTTAGTCAATAATTCGCCGTGAGTGAATGAAGCAGCAAAATATCGGTTGTCCCTATTTAGATACTCTAATTTCATCCGAAACCAGATTATGTTAATTCTGTATGATGCGGTCTCGTGCAGAAATAAAATGAATATAATAATTATCGTAAGATCTTTGTCCAATCATCATTATGAGAGTTTATTAATACACATTTAGTAAGCAGGCCAAGTTATTTTGAACATGTGCCTGTTAACTTCAGAAATGCAGACCAATCTTACTGACTGTCACTCTTGACTTGTGAGATACTCTAATCAATTTCATTTAAAAATGGACCCAGATTTCATAGAAATGGCAAACGAAATCAAGAGTAAGATCATATTGCACTGGAACTGTCGAGGCCTCGTGGAGCTACCAGAGGTGATAAGGCTTCATGGATCTCACATAAAGGAAATATATCTCAAGTGGAACAAACTTACCACTTTACCACCCTGGATCATGGAGTTGTTCAATGTAACCAATTTATATATGTATGGTAATCTAATTAAACAGCTGCCTGCTGAACTCGGTAGGATGAAGCAGTTAACAGTGTTGGATTTAAGTGCCAATAAATTGGAGCAGATACCTTGCTGCATTGGTAATTTGAGAAATTTGAAGTGCTTATTTTTGAATGACAATTTCATTGAGAAATTACCAGTTGGTAAGTATGATAAAGCTAAGTATGTTCTGTTGTAATAACAAAGGATATATTAATTTATACAGTAAATAAAAACAGAATTGAGTCAACTAAGTAATCTGCAAATACTGTCTGTCTCTGGCAACCAGATTGTTGCACTACCAGAATGGACTGGCTCTCTGCCAAAACTTAAAGAACTATATGCAGATAATAATCGACTGAAAGAACTGCCAAATAGATTGACACTAGCTCCTGAACTTACCATGATCTCTGTGTGTTCTAATAGGTTACTATTTCTATTAATATTTTGTAAAATTGCTGTTTTATTTGTAAGAAATAAGCTGTTAATTTTTTGGTGTGAATTATAAGTTACAATTATTTATAGTCTGTTTTAAAATATTTAACATATTTATCAGATTAACATATTTACCGTTGAATGGATTCTTGTCATCTCCTTTCATTGGATTTGATGCAAATGAGTACTTGAATTATGTGTCTTATCCACTCCTATTTCAATTTCTGTCGCAACTTCGAACGACAGCTCTTGACAACAGAAGCTGTTTAGCATTTGGGTGAGATTTTTAGCTACAGAAAAGTGTGAAGTAGGGAGATAAGTGTATAATGAAAAATAAATTCAAAATTATCTTGCTTCGTGAAGTAGCATGTATATAAAGTAGATTTTACATTATTATACAATCTATGTATACAATCACAGATGTTTCAAAACGCACTACGATACTAATGTGTTAAGCACAAATATAAAGCTGTACATTGAAATGAAAGGACTGTACGAAAATGACACTGATGTTATAATCGAATTACCACGGCAGCTTTTGAAAATTCACGAGTTTCACAAGAATGTGACTTGTTCCCTGTGGGAATTAGCACTGAGAAAAATTTATACTGAGAGGTAATCGAAAAGGCTTATATAAGGAACAGGAATATTCTCGCTTTCTTCTATAAAATTATGATTGTACTGAATGAACATAGAATGGCCAACGTCGAGAAAATATGATTTGGCTTAATCACATCGGCAACTTTGGCTGGAAGAAGAATCATTAATGCGCGCGTCAGCAGCATCCTCTCTTGTGAATATGAAATATTCATAACAATTCACAAAGGAACATTGTGATTCTCGTAATGTCAAATTATTAATTTCTGACTTTGGCCTTTCTTATTCCAAAGTAGAAATAAGTATCTTGTAATTCTAACACAAATACGTTTTAGGTATAAGCATACGCTCGATGTTTTCACATCTCCCTTGAGTGTAACGATACTCTATAGTCCGCTCCCTAAGGATACTAAGCTAGACTTCATGTTGTCTACTATGAACTGTACTTTGTACAATTTATTAACGAACGGACCCGTCAGCGTCTGCGTAAATTCACACTGTCAGCAACCTATATTCACAGAAGCATGGATCATTATCGGTATTAGCCATCACGTGAAGTCCATGATAACGATAGCTCTATGTTGCAGTAAAAGGTAAGGTGGATGTAATTGTAGTACCTGAGTTTATATGAATTTATAAGTCTCTCCTTTAATTTCTCTTGCAGCTGTGCCTCTGCATTCGCTACGCATTCGAGCACGTTTAACAAACTTCATTGGTATCCTATCAATTGATGAACTCTCTTTGTTAAATGCTTAATTAAAATATTTCTGTGTATATAAGAGATAATAGGAAAATAAAAGATCGTTGTGTACGTCATTAAAACCTTCTCAGCTTCATAAACTAAACTATCTATTTTATTTAATTTATTCTGGCTTATTGGTAATGACTTCCATTTGATAATGCCCAGTAAGAATTCAGATTCTATAACGCAATGACAGATTATTGAGTTAAATTATCAGAGAACAGCACTGCAAACGTAGCTTTCACAGATATCATTGTTCAAGACTAGTAGCTGAATACCATCTTTTTTTTATTAAAATATACGTTGCGATTTAACGCGATATTTTTCACGCGATATAAAAACTTTAATTTCTTTCGCAATAACTCCATTTCCGCGTAAAATCAAATTACAAGAAAATATTTCGCAGCCTATCGTATTTTACGGATATTAACAACGATTTGCTTAAGCGATCAGAAGATCCAACGCCCTATCACGATCGATATTGCACTTGAGTAATGCCACTGAGGCTTCGTCCTCGGGGAATCCTAGATCCCTCAGCGTGCATAGGCTCTCGTAGTAGATCCTCGCTTTATTTTGATCGTACTGTGTGAGCGCCAATGCTTTCTCGGCATCGTCACCCGAAATACCGCTTTCTTCTAAAGATTGGACGGCCAACAGATACTCCACGATCTTTTTGTTGTCTTCTCCACCTAAGTCCCGTATCGCGCGCGCCGCTCTCGATAAAGGGAAACCCATGTCGCTTAAGTGCCTGGCCAATTTTTGATCCTCTTCTGTCAAATCCGACAACGGGTGCATCGGTTTCGTGTGATTAGACGTCGGGATTGTGTCGTCATGCTTCAGAGTTCCACATGCGTCAGTACCTGGACTCTCTAAATCGGGCCATGGTTTCCAACTCTGTCATAGGAAAGTATCGATTGAATTAGCATTGGACTGTCGTTTCTGTTTGGAAATGAATTCATTACCTCCATAATAGGCCTTTCCAATTCTTTCTGAAGTTCCTGTACTATTGCTGAAACACTGCGGTGGTTCTCAACATTGTGGTGCTGCGATTGATCCGTTTCGATGTGATCGTCCGTTTGATTTTTCGTATCGTCGGCTTTTTCCTCATTATGAATCTCGGCGGTATCGTCGATCGTTAATTCGTTTATGATGTTTTCCAATTTCCCAGCTGGCACCCACTGCGATCTAGGTTGTAAAACCTATATGCAAAAAACACTGTAAGTATAAGATAATCGTCAATATCCTTCATGAGATCGTCCAGCAATAAGTCTGTTCTTTTTAGCTGAATTAGTGTAAAATACCCAATTACTGATCACTTTTATAGCATGTTCGACTGGCTTTGGGTTAACCCACTCTGGGTTATTCAGCCTACGTTTATTGGTCGAACAAGTACTACTTATAAGCTTTATGATTGGCTAGTAGAGACTTATGACGTCATTAATTGCTCTCGGAGCGATTAACCCAGGGCCAGTCGAACACGCTATTAGTCATTAATACTCTGGAAAAATCTGTGGTGGAACTACGTTAAAATAATAGCAAAGAAATAAACAGAAGTTTCCTGTCTATACAATCACGTATGATAACTCGACGAATCGTTGCACGTGATTGTATAGACAGGAAATTTTTTTCCATTTCTTCGTATATTTTTTACATAGTTCTACCACTGATTTTTCTTGCAATTAGTCGTGATTCAGTTTTAGTTGTGAAGTTTTCTTTAAAAAACATTGCGAGTGTGTAAGTAAGGAGATTAACTGCAATATTGGTTACATGAAAAACCAAAAAATTTCCTAGAACATCAATAACTAAGAGGGATATCAGTAATTTTGAGTGTTTTACTCTAGCTATACTGGAACCTTGTTCCTTTTCCCTTGAACACTACATTGTATACTTGTTTCATTTTTAAGACCAGTTTAAACTAGCAGTAATATTGCTAATAACGTATGTTTTTAACAATGTTATTGACAAATGTAGATTGTATTACCATTTGAAATTGTTCAAAACAATTATTTCTAACAAGTTATAAAACAATAGTTAACTACATTTTTGCTATTAACTTTGTTATTTTGAAATAAAAAATGAAAAAGGAATAACATTTTTTTTAAATATTTTGCAGAGAACAAATGTTATTGACAAAAGTTACTAATTTTGGTAATATGCAGATAGCTTTGTCACCAACATTTTGTAAAAAACATTACTTTTACAACCCATCATTTAATTCATCTAGTTCAGCTAAAACAAGAACCTAACAACACTTGTTAAGTTTCTGAAGTAGTAAGTAATTTTGCTCACCTGTGCCAATTCCTCCATATCATTAATAGTCTTCAATTCCATATTGTCAAAGGGGCTACTTGTGTCATTATCAAAGTCAGCAAAGTCCAGACCATTTGTCTTCACATGATCCTGAAGATCGTTTGCTGGTGGAGACAAAGGTTGAGGCATGAGTATTGTCGTTTCTGGAGCAGGTGCTGTATTGATAGGCAGTTGTTTCACATAGTCTGTTGGCATAGGTGGTGGTGAAGGAGGTGTCTCCTCTATTTCCTTCTTTTTCTTTTCTTCCAAACGAGCTTGGCGTGCTTTGCTGGTTGCTTGTCTGGCTTTGCGCCATTCAGTCATCTGATTGCAAATTAATTTGTCAGATGGAACTATTCAAATAAGTCATCAAACAAGTCATAGGTCTGCTCGTTTTTAAAGAACTTCTAAACTAATGCACACTAGTACAATAAGTTAGAGTAAAAGAAAGTTTAGTTGTTTCATTCTATCTTGTCCTATTAATAGATTTTTTTTTAAACAAACTTCATATTAAAGCTTACCTTATCGAGCACCGATCTCTCCAAACTAAAGTCGTACATCACTTTCGACACGTCTGATAATCTATTGTTGTACGCCGCGGGTAGACCGATTTTCCTCGGCGGTTTGTAGGCCTCTGCGATCTTAACGTGAACTCCATCCATATACGACGCGACTAAGTCGTATTGCGCCGATATAGAAGATCGAGTCATAATTTTCGGCAAAATCTAGACTCACGTATTCTCGAGAAATATCTCTCTGTAAACCTGCAGCAAAGCTCCGTCGCTTTATTCGTCCAGTCCCAGAACATAACCTAGTTTATATCGAAATACATCACGTTCGATCGCATGTGTCATATACCGACGATGCATCTCGCATGTTTAGTTGTAAATCAATTAAACGTCAAACATCCTTATAACAGCTTACGACTTGCAATATACCTACAGTCACCTGAGCATTAAAAATACTTTCATTTGACAGATAGAAACCTCATCATAGCCATATTGCGTGCCTCTCGTTTAGGCTCGTTTACAATAGGAGTAAGGCTGATATTACATGTGTCGTATGATAAGCTTTTCAGATATGTTCATTGGTTGGCGAATAAAGTATTTCTAGGTTCTCTATTCGTCACCAATGGTTAGGCGACAATTTCCCGAAAAGTGGAGGAGATAATGTTAATATTAAGGAAAATCTCTACATGATATAATTTAAAGATTCTGTGGTAGAATTAAAAAATTGACAAAGAAATGGAAAAAAATTTCCTGTCTATACAATTACGTGCAACGATTTGTCGTGCAACGATTCGTCGAGTTGTCACACGTGATTGTATAGACAGAAAACTTCTTTCTATTTCTTTGCTATTATTTTAACGTAGACCCACTGTTTTTTGTAACTGCACTGCTGAACTAGTGCAATAAATTGAAGTGAGGCAAGTATATGTTTTCTCATTCTAATCTTTTGCATTAGTTCAGCAGTGCAGTTACAAAAAACAAATTTTTAAATTATATCCTGTAGAGATTTCTCTTGGTACCAACATTATCCCCTCCACTTTTCGGGAAACTATCGCCTAATCATTCAGCAGTGCAGTTACAAAAAATAAATTTTTAAATTATATCCTGTAGAGATTTCTCTTGGTACCAACATTATCCCCTCCACTTTTCGGGAAACTATCGCCTAATCATTCAGCAGTGCAGTTACAAAAAATAAATTTTTAAATTATATCCTGTAGAGATTTCTCTTGGTACCAACATTATCCCCTCCACTTTTCGGGAAACTATCGCCTAATCATTCAGCAGTGCAGTTACAAAAAATAAATTTTTAAATTATATCCTGTAGAGATTTCTCTTGGTACCAACATTATCCCCTCCACTTTTCGGGAAACTATCGCCTAATCATTCAGCAGTGCAGTTACAAAAAATAAATTTTTAAATTATATCCTGTAGAGATTTCTCTTGGTACCAACATTATCCGCTCCACTTTTCGGGAAACTGTCGTCTAACATGGCTTTACTTTTTTGGCCATATGCGGGATCTATGGCCGCGGTCCGAAAAGCGCTCACAGCGCTCACAGTGCTGAGAGCGTAAACACTGTTCCGAAATCATTAGCGCGCTTAAGCACAGCTCATTTCGAAACGCACTCTTTGTGTGTTGCATACGATATCTAAAGAAAGTTAAAGACATTGTGACAAGACATCGAGTACAGAAAAAAGTGAGAATATTCCACATTTTTTCACATTGCTTTTGGTTTCGTTTTCATATTCACTTTTTACCAATTCGATCAAAAAGGTTGAATCTGTAGGAATTACGTTACAGAAAATTAATCACAAGATAGTTTATGTAACATAAATTTTACTAAAAAGTCTAAGATCACAAATATAACCTCTCACGAAGTGAGAGTTTTTTTTCTTACCTCTGCAGCTTTTTTCTTATCTCCGATGTTACTTTTAAAATTATTGTCTCTTTTGTATCTTCTAAATATACGGATAATTCCCCCAAATCTTCTGCAGCCATTTTTATTGTAGTACACTTCAATCAGCGAAAATATTTACATATGTATGTACACCATTTAAAAATGACTACTTTTTCCGCGCTTGTTACGTCGTGTTCACAGTTGGTTTGTTCTTTTGCTCTGCACTGCTGCACTGGTGCAATAAGTTAGAGAGAGACAAATATATATTTGTCTCACTCTAACTTATTGCACTAGTGCAGCAGTGCAGAGCGAAAGAACAGACCAAGTGCCTCAGCTTCCGACCATGGGCAGCGTGAGCACTGACATAACAAGCGCGGAAAAAGTAGTACATTTTTAAATGGTGTACATACATATGTAAATATTTTCGCTGATTGAAGTAAGTGTACTACAATAAAAATGGCTGCAGAAGATTTGGACGAATTACCTGTATATTTAGAAGATACAAAAGAAACAATAATTTTGAAAGTAACATCGGAGATAAGAAAAAAAGCTATGATGTCACCTAACTTTGAGTGAACTTGCTTAAACCAATTCGGAGCACATAAGAGCGCGCTAATGGTGCTGTGAGCGCTTTTTGGACCGCGGCCCATGTATACTATGTCCATAGTAGCATTCAGAAAACATAGCTGATCAGTGAGCGGTTAGTGATTATTATCCTTACTATTAAATCCCTAACTTTAGACCAATTACGTTGACTAATTACTCAACCGTTGTGTAACCGTTGTGTCTCCTGAACGCACCTCATGTGTAGACCCTGCTTAAGTTAACTAAAATTGATAAAAACGGGCATTAGAGAAAAGAAACAAATACAGTTGAGACTCAATCGAAAAATGAAAATGGAAGAAATGGAAGAAGATAGAAAAAAGAAGAAAATTAATGCGAGCCAATTCAGTAATAGAAAACAGATCTTTAATCAACCGACTGTAAACTGGCCTAATTTACATCATGCACTTAATACACGTAACTTTCTATTAAATAATCTTAATATCGACGATGTATAAACAACGATATATTAAGCTGGTATAATACTCATCAAGAAGACGTATTGTATCGATTGAATGCATCGTTATTGGCTACGTTCAGCAAAGAAAGCTGCTTTGCAACTGTTGTAAAATTCGTGAATCTGATTAGTACATGCTCTTGGATTTAACCAAAATTAAGAAATTAAGAGCATACCCTAATCAGATTTACGAATTTTACAACAGTTGCAAAGCAGCTTTCTCTGCCGAACGCAACCATTGTCAATATAAAGATTATTTAATAGAAAGTTACTATTTAGTATGCGTATCAAGTGCACAATGTAATCCAGGCTACTAGTTCAGCGATAAAGGACAAACCTTCATCGTCGCAAATGATCACGCGTCTGGAGTTAGGCACTTTCTCCCGATCGAACATATTATAACAAATAATTCTTTGCACGTCAATCGAAAAACGAAAATGGAGCGCGCGAAAAACCGGTTTCTCACTCCTTTTCAGCTGATGTGGCGCACGTCACCGCCTAGTGATTTTCCGCGTCTTTAGTTTCAGGCATACCACCGACGTAGGTCTCGCATGCGCTCCATTCCAAAAAAAAACCATCAGCCATATTGGTGTGTTGTATCGCTGTCCTCAGTAATTTCGAAGAACAGTAAAGGTATTTTTCTCAATCGTTTGTCCACTACCATTCTCGACGCAACAGTCGCGTTGAATTCAGTTGGCGATCGTTCTTGCACAACCGCAAGTCCCAATCGCGATCCGCTGAACGAGCGTATTCCCTCTGACGTTGGTCACCAAAAAAAGTTTGGTTAATGTTGCCACCTTGGCCTCGCACGGAGAGACTGCTCCCGTACTTGCGCGAACATGTCGCAAATACGAGACGCGTGCTGTCTCACGTGCGAGGCGATAATGCTCCCGAAAAGCACCACCTTGATCGTTCGTGTGCTTATTCGAGATTCTCTTAGGCTTGATTTCTTTTTCTTTCCCGGCTACTTATAATTAACGAGAGCCTCTGTGCTACTCTGTCTGCAACTCTACCTTGCACGTCCGTCACTCTTGTAACGTTCTCTCACGTTTCTCGTGTATTTGTTCATTGAAAATAATAATTATCGAAGTCGTACATTCGATCGCTGATCGCGCGATATTTCCTCGGAGCAACAGGTACAGATATCGTCCGTGATATCGCCGCTGATGCATCAGATTGACGCAGTGTTTTCTGTACTCGTCTGTGTATTCGGATGTAACAGATGATAGATCTTCCTTTGCTATATAATGGAAATGTTATTACCTACTGTTCATCCTTTGCAGGAATTTATGTTACTGTTATCTCATTTCCTGTATCCTATTACTTTCGACTTGTTTTTCAGACATTTACCTCGGAAAATTTCTCTCCTTTATATATACTATATTATGTCTCACAGAGACAAACAGTTTGAAGCACCTATATTACGCAACATACAAGGGTTGCATTCACTTTGGGAGTTCACGCGTTGTAATTTTGTTTTTATTGCTCATTACATGCAGAAGGAAGAATTACATTTAGGGTGCATAAGCAAAGTGAATACAGTTAAGATTTAAATGCTTCTTTTCATATTTAACTTTAGTGTATTTACAGTATATTTTATAGTTTATTTGCGATTATCACTTTTAAATTATTGATGTTATCTTTTCAGCAGATAGTACATCATGACGGATTCCATGAAATTTGGTCCAGAATGGTACGTAATAGATTGTTAAATTAATTATGAAATTTACTTAGATATTTGAAATCTGAGATTATATCTTGTTACTCGTGATATTGATATTTTAATGATATTGAACAATTTGTGATATATAGGTTGCGCAACTTGTCTGGTGACAGTTGCAATACAGGTGGAGGTGGTGGAGGGACCACAACTTTGAGTACACCTCGGTATCAACTGGCAGAGTATAGATATGGTCGGGAAGAGATGTTGGCTCTATATGATCGCAATCATAAGCCTCCTGAGCCACTAACATCTTTTACAGCATTGTATGTGGAGAAACCTCAAGCTCCATTGGCTCTCATACAGATGACGGAGGATGAAGCTGTAATTATACATTTAAAAGCCTATATATTTATACACTTATTCCTGCAATATTTAACAATAATGTATGTAATTGTTTCAAGTGGCTTCCAATTTAATAGTTTTTTCTCAAGAATAGTAGATATATTTATATATTTTTTATTAACGTAATGATATGCCTATATTATTTGAATATTTGTGCAAAGCAGCAGCTTAATTTTGTTCTCATTTTTGACAATAACAAAAGGAAACTTATGTCGTTAAGCTATTGTACTCTTATTTTGTCCTATATTGAGAACTATGTCATCAACTTGTTCTAAAAATATAACACTGGAACCCTTGTGTCAGTTTTTAGTTCCATACATTAGTCTCTTCTCTTTTAGTTTATGTAATCAGGTAATATAATTAAGGCATGATCGCGAGACAGTTTTAAAAAATTATGTGAATATTATATTATTAGCTGTTTTCAAGTACATAAAAAACTTAAGTAAAATAATACTTTAAGATAAATTTTATATTCAAACGCGTATTGAGTGCGTACATATTTATAGCGTATGTGGAATGGAGGAATAGCCAATATCGGTGGCCGAGGAAGAGGTAGTAGCGTGGATCGTGGAGGACGTGGTAGGACCGGAAGAGGAAGCTTGTATTCGTCTCACTACTCACGTGGAGTTGGTTTTGATGACTCCGGTGATGGGATACGAATTGAGGGCCAATCATTCCAGGTATAAAGCTTCGTTCTCTTTTCATAAAAATCTCACTGTTTGATATTTTTCGTGTGTGAAATCTTGCTTGCAGGGGAGAAATAGGCCGTTTGATAGATCTCAAAGTGAACGTAGTTGGTCAGAAAGAAACGGTGCTTCGGATCCGGGTGAATGGAATGGCTCAAGTAGTCCTCGAAAAGAGCTTAGTCGTGGAACTAGCGGTAGTTCTCTTATGGAGGGTAATTGGAGACGTCATCGCGGTGAGGAGGACGATGGTTGGCGCAAGTGGGGTAAATATTATAAATACAAATATAGTATGTAATAATGTCTGTAAGTACAAGTTGGGTAATATTATTTTATATATTGCTTCAATGGTCACGTTGTTATCTGTTATATAACAAATCGATGTTTATCTTAGGGAGGAGCAGCTGGCGCGAAGGTGGCAGTATGGATAGGGACAGGCTAGATCGAAACGAGGGCGACGGAGGAGATGAAAGCAGAAGCGGACCGGGAAGATGGGATCATCGTGGAAATCACAGATCTTCCCATGACTCGGCTCACCATGCACCGTCTCGCACCGCTCGTGCTTGGGAATCGAATCATCACGATAACCATGACAATCTACCTGAGTGGTAAATGATAAATTTGTATCATAGTTTGATAATTTCCGTCATTGTTTCCACTTCCATTACTTAATTCACATTGAATTTGCTGTTTCAGGGCGACGGAGAATCCGAGCGAAAGTGGTGGTAGTTTTGATGCTTCGGGCGCATTTCACGGAGGCATGTATTCGGACGATGACGACGACGGTGTGGCAGGTGCTTCCCAACATGGCAGAACTCGACGTGTGTCGGAAGGCAGTGCTTCTAACATAGTAAAGTCTAGTAACAAGCCATTAGCTTCCGGCACCGGTTCTGTCCAATCGTTGAATCGCCATACGAATAACACGGCCGGTACATTAAGCAAGGAACGACCGAAGCAGTTGCATCCGCTCGAGGACAAGGATGATTCTGCCAGAAAGGAGAGGAGGTGTAATTCACCGGTTAAACCAGCAGTTGCATTGCCGACAGAAAGTATTTCTACGAAAACATCCTTAACGACATCCTCGGATCTCTTGCAGAAGAAGGCTGTTGGACCCACAAGTACGGATAAAGCTGAGGGCGAAAAGTTGCAGTCTAGCGGCGCGGGACCTAGCAAGTCTCCAACTGAAGCTCACAACAAGGAGACCTCGCAGACGGAAGTTAAGACCGAGCCAATAACTGCCCTAACCAATCGACAAAATCCTTTGCACACGGAGCCGCCTAAGACTGTGGCGCATAATACGGGAACCACTAATGTTAGGCAAAGAATGGAGGACGACTTGGATAGAATGAAGGAGGAGGCCGATGCTCTAGTGGCTAAATTAATGGACGAAGAGAGCCACAAAGAGAAAAGCGCTAGTGTACCGCCCGCGATTGGTAACCAACCTTCCGCAGTCTCCGCTACGGATAGTCAGGAAAAATGGTTTTATCGTGATCCACAGGGCGAAGTTCAGGGACCATTTTTAGCTAGCGAAATGGCTGAATGGTGCAAAGCTGGTTACTTTACCGCAGGGTTATTGGTGAGAAGAACATGCGACGAAAGGTACTACACACTCGGTGATCTTATTAAAATGTGTGGCAGAGTGCCTTTCACGCCTGGGCCATCGATACCTCCGTTAAAGGTATAAATAATTATTAATATAACGCTATTATAAATGTATATATATATATATAACGCTATATAATATTAATATAACGCTATTATAAATATATATATATATATATATATATATATATATATATATATATATAAATTAGTAAATAAAATATATGAAATATATATATTAGTAAATAAAATTAATGAAATGAAATATCTTTGTGTGTAGTTAGCAGAGCAGGTGATACCACCGCCTGTTCCCAGTACTGTGCCAGCTGGAATGGCTGCTGCTGCTGCTGGTTTACCGAAAACTGGAATAGAGGATCCGTTGCTGCTACTACAGTATCAACAAATGCATTTATTGCAGAGTCAGCTAATGCTAAGGCAGATGAGAACATCGGCTATAGCAAAGTTGTCGCAGTCGGAGCATTGGGCATCATTGAGTCCCGTAGAGCAGAATCAATTGATTTTGCAGTACGTTATACAGGACTCTGAATTCCCGGAAGTACCGATCACGACAAATCCGTTTGTGCCTCATCTTGCATCTCAAGCGGCGACTAATCCTGTTATGCAACTATTCACTCAAATGCAGCAGGTGATATCTCAGCATGTTTTACTAAAATTCCTGTACGTTGTTATTATTTTATTGACAACTAATACAGTGCATTTTCTGACAATAATTCCGTTGTCGGTTGATTCGTTATAGTTGGTCGGTTGATCGTTTATCTAATGTCGCGATATTACAGGCAAAAACTCAACCGGAAACTCATTTGTCGGCGAATCCGCATGCGTCCGCACCGACACACCCAGCCACGGTAGATCCCATACAACAATTGATTCAACAAATGGGCGGCATACAGAATTTGCCTACTGTTCAACAGCCGAACATCGCTCAAACTCCTGCGCCAACACAGGAGGATAATCCGATTAAATCTCTGTTACGCCAACTCAATGTCAATGCAAATGGTCATCCGCAAACGCCTCATGTAGACACTGTATGGCCGCAACCGCCACCGCAAATGGCTCCACAGTTTAATGCACAGAATTGGTTAGCGCAGGTGTGTTACCATCGTACCAACTGTATTTAAAATGTTGCGAATATCGCAAAACGGTATAGGACTTTTATGTTCACCTCGACCCGCTCTACGTTCTCACAAGAGTTTCGTAGATTGTTCTTGGACACTCTGTATACTAGTATCACATCTTCCAGGTCGGGCCCATTCCGGCAATGCCACCTGGTCAGTTACCTAGTTCTTTGTGGGACCTGCATGCTAAAGAAATAAAAACTGAGCAACAGATACTGGTAAATCAATCTAACGGTATTAACCTTTTGCACTTGGATGTCCTTTCAGAGGGGGTTACATAAAATGTAACATTTAAATGTATTAAATGCTACATTTAAATGTAGCAAAGATGTCTCCGAGTGCAAAGGATTAAGTTTCATCATCTTTTGAATATTCCTGAAGTAATCTATATGTTCTTTCTTTTTAGGAAGAACAAAATATGAAGATACAGGAGGATAGGAAAAAAGAAGAGTTGAGAAAACAAGAGGAACTACAACGTCAAGTGGAGGAAGAGAATGCCAAGAGAAAGCAAGAAGAGCAAGTTAGACAAGCTGAGGAAGCGAAACGTAAAGACGAGGAAAGAAAGAGAAAGGAGGAGGAAAAAAAACGAAAAGAAGAGGAAAAACGCAAGCAAGAAGAAGAACAGAAGAAAAGAGAGGAGAAGAAACGCAAGGAGGAGGAAAAGAAGCGTGAAGAAAAGAAAAAACAAGAGGAAGAAAATTTGAAGAGAAAGCAGGAAGAGGAGAAAAGAAAGCGAGAAGAACTTAGAAAACAGGAAGAAAAACAGAAGAAGGAAGAGGAGAAAAAGAAAAAATTAGAGGAAGAGCAGAAAAAGCAAGAAGAAGAAAGACTCAGGTATATCAATAGAATTGTATATAGTATAATGTCACCGATCAATAAAATAATAAAACAATCGAATTATATACTTATATTTATATATAGAAAAGAAGCAGAGGCGCGACGACAAGCCGAAGCGGAAGAACAAGCGCGCCGCGCAGAACAACGACGTAGAGAAGCCGAAGCGTTGCGTAAACTACAAGAAAGAAGCAAAGCACCGTGGGCTCAAGCCCCACGTGCTCCTGCTCCTGCAGCTCACGCCTCACTCGCAGAGATACAGAGACTCGAAAAAGAAAAGAAAGCGGTAAGTATCTCTATTTTTTTAGTTCTGATTTATCGCGCCTATTCGCGTTTCTCCTCTATCTATGAAAATCTGTGAATTTTGTAGGAGGAACAACGATTGCAGCAACTGATGCAGCAACAGATAGCGCAACAAAAAGCAATTGAGGCGGCGCAGGAGGCTTCGGCGACTGATTCGTCTAAAAGGCTGCAATTCAAATGGGCGGAAAAAGCTATCGCTGCCAATAAACCACTCCATGTAAAAAGTCTTGCGCAGATTCAGCAGGAAGAGCAGGAACGTATCGCCAAGGTAAAGGTACTTATTGCTTCTTAAATATATAAATAATATAAGTCAAACACTAGTGATATACGGCAGTACGGTAGCAATCAGAATCTTGATATGTTTTTAACAATAGGAAAGAGAGAGACAAGAAAAGGCAGGTCAGAAGGAGTCTGCAAGTATGCTGCAGAATGCTGGAATATGGGGTACAGCGTCACAATGCCTCAATTGGGCTAATTCTGGCACTTCGAGTCAGGCATGGTCTAACAATTCAGGTGCTACTGGATTCTGGGATGATCCCACACCGGTCAGATCGACTACAACTACAAAACAACCAGTTAAGCAAGTTATGACTACGAAATCTGTTCCTATCCAACAGCAGCAACAACAACAGCAGCAGTCGCAACAACAAAATAATAAAGCGTCCAAGAGCAAGAATAAGAGAGACGAGGAATTAGTGAAAAAGCTATTTGAACAGAACACTGCCAAGACCGATGAGTTTACGCAATGGTGTACTAAAGCGTTGAGCGGTTTACAGGCGTCCGTGGATAGTACGTGTTACACACGTTGAGTTGGTTTGCAAATTTTCGCTTGGAATCCGAAGACTTTCTTACGCGCCTGTATATTTGCAGTCCCTACGTTCGTTGGATTCTTGCGAGATATCGAATCGGCATATGAAGTTAAGGAGTACGTTCGCGTCTACCTCGGCGATACCAAGCAAAGTACAGAATTCGCAAAGCAGTTCCTCGAGAAACGTAGCAAGTGGCGATCGGCGCAACGTCCTCAGGCGCAAGCGGACGATCTGTGTAAACCAGCACCCGCTGTCAATCCAAATGCACCTACGGAGTTTCAAGAAGTGAAGGTACTATTTTAAAATTAATATCTCGGATTAATATCAAAGCGCGCGAATGGAATCGCTGAAATTGTACGAAACATGTTGTGCGCGATGTAAAATACTAACCGTTCTTTCTCGATTGTCTAGGGAAAATCTAAGAAACCAAAGAAAGGAAAGATGTACAAAGTGGACAACAGGATACTTGGCTTCAGCGTAACCGCGGCCCCCGACCGTATCAATGTAGGTGATCGCGATTATGGTGAAGGCGTTTGAACTGAATCACATCAGTTTAACCTCGCGGAAATGATGTTACGCTCAATTCATCAAACGGTTTGTTATTTATTTATTATACATGCTAAAAGGGACCCCGTCATGGGTACTTCTTAAAGCATATGAAGGCTTTTTACGATCCAATGCGTAAAAGAAGAATTCATCCCTTTTCAAAGTCGATCGAGGATGATCATCAGGTCCAACTGAGCGTGGCGTTATTTTCTTACGGAACAAAACTGAGAAACACACTGACAAAAAATGCTTCACTGTACATATTACTCAAAAGAAGAATATATCGTAAGAGAAAAGAAAATGAAGAAAAAGAGGACGGACTCATTTTTTCCTATGTAAGCGACGATTAGGGTTGAAAACTTTTATAACATTTCATCATCATCGTCATTTAAGGTACGCAAGAAAAAGAAAAATATGCCGACCGATAATAATCATGCACGTGGAGACATGGCAGTCAATAGCAATATATGTATGTTATGGTGTTCAACGAAAAAAAAAGGTAACGTTAAAGTGTGCTTGTGGTAATTGCGAAAAGCATCGTCTTTCTGAGTCAAGCACACAGTTATTAATGGTGCGTCAGTACTTCTCTTACTGATCGTGCTTAATGCAATGTGAATCCTATGGATTTCCGCTTCGTCGCGAATACGTGTCGAAGAGATTTGCTTTATATTATTACTCGTGATAGATTTTTGCAAATGATTTAATATACCTCTCAAGCACGGTAAGAATCTTCCCCACTTTTTAATATCTTTTTCGTCATAATACTTGTAGTAACGATATTCTAAGCAGAAGTTTAAGCACACGCGGTAGTAGTAACCACGATTAAGATCATGAATAATTTGTGTACGCATTGGAAATTTGGACCTTACATCTGAAGATAGAGGATGCAATAATATATAAGAAATGCATTTTGTTCAATGAAATGACAGACTGCAAGAGAGAAAGAGAGAGAGAGAGAAAGGAAGAAAGAAGAGGCGTATTCGACATAATTTCTTGATATTACGAGGACAATGTTAAAAATAAAATTAGTGGTTCCAACATAGCATCCTTCATTAGAAATTTTTTGGTTTTGCTGTTCTATACCGTAGAAATGACAGTAGTGATTTAAGGTAATATTCGTAATGTGTATTACTAACTCCACGGAATATCGGCATACATGAAATCCTGACACACTGATTACTGCATGTGCCTATGTGTGGATCTCACTGTCGTCGGCATATAGCCTTCTTGTACACTGTGGTCGATCTAACAATAAAATTGAGGTATGAAACATCTGTGGCAGGTTCAATTATGATGCAAATTAAATGCGCAGGAAAGCAGTATCTTTTGTAAAACTTTAATCATAACTCTGTAAATGTCGTAGCTGGAAACTCGTAAATACTTTTCCTCTTTTTTTTTTAGTGCTTTTAAGAACATTAATATAATTTTTCTTAATTGGAATAATACGCATTGACAACAGCACGACACGGATGCTCGATTGTAAACGTGGAATGTTGTGACAGATCTGACCGCTTATAATATTATAATGGTTGTTAACTAAGGTTCGTTGATCTCCTCTTAAAATTAACGTATTTATCTTAATGAATTAATTAAGATTAATTCAAGGGAAGATCATGGAGCCTTATATGAAAGATTTATGTATAAATAAGTTAATGTACAGAAATATGCCGTGATTAAACAAATTAATTAAAGCGATGATTAAAGAACGGATAACTGATATTGTATTAATATTCTATTATTGTATATCTAACGTACATCATAATAAAATAAATATTATTATATTTTCTATCTGGCTTTCTTATTGTTTTACAAATTGTTTTTTGTATCGAAATTGAGATATTTTAATATTGAATGCGTCATACAGTGACACGAAGTTTTGATACGAATATGTATTCTGTTGTTTGTTTCTCTTTTGATTTTTCAAAGTTGACATATGTTTCCAGGCGACTTTTAAGATAAATTTGTACTTATATGCTCTGTATGCGAATGACGAGACTGTTGTGAATGAAAGTACGACAGATTTGTGATGAAATCGCGTTTTAAAGAAAAATTATTTTATCAGTTTTTACAGGAAAAAAAAGAGAATACTTTGAAGGTAATTTATGAAAAATGCCAAATATGACAATTGCACTATTGTGCTGAAACATGTGAACATGAATAAATTAATCTTTCTATTCTACACATTGCTACACATAACTGCTTAAAAGGCAGTGCAGATTGCTTTAAACGTAAGCGCGATTTCTAATACACACAGATATTTTGTAATGTCAGTGATGCAATATCTTTCTTAAGCATATGTACTGCATGTATGCGGATTGAGCGGCGTTGCAGTTGGAATATCGTTATCGAATTGTTATAACATGTTACACAGACGCATTGATTCATACGATGTCATGTATCATAATAAAAATCATTTAATGGACAAGTTACATTATTTTCATAAACGATCTAGTGTTCAACATAAGGCGACACGTCGAGCGCTATCGTTTACTTTTAAGCAATAACAATTACGAGAGCAAGATGACGTGAATGAAATCGTCACGATACGTTACATCATTTGTAACTCTACAAACAAGTATTATGACATTTGTACTTTGCGCATGTTTTGTTACATTGTTATATATGTACAACATCTATACATATATATATATTTCCTTATATATATATATATATATATATATATATTTCCTTAAAAATTTCATCGGTAAATGCAACGACGATTGTTCTTTTTATGGAGAAGTACTTCAATTACCTGTAACAATAATTTTTGCAGGGAAAACGCGAGTTCTGGAATGTTTTAGAGTACAGAATAAAATACTTGAACACATTGAGAGAAGTTCACATTTCGGGCTGTCGGCAATTGATTAATCTTCTTTTCCCTTCCCATTAGATGGCACAACATGAATTTCGCTATAATCTCGTGCAATATCAATATACTGAAATTAAACGACACGTACGTATATTAGCAATCCGTGTATATTGTAAATCATACGATTCTTAACATAATCCTGTTACCTTTCTAGGAACGAGGAATTCCAAAATCTGTAGTATTATATAACACAGTGACACTACGAGCAAGTAGGCCAATACACCACTTCGTATTTGATTCTTCAACTGCTGTCCCAGATTCTTCTTGGTCTCGCATTTCACTAAATTATACACTATTTCGGTACGTTTAGTAATATTGAACCAATTGTAGAACAAGCCTATGCTCCTGTGCAACTCGAATGGACATCTGACGTTGCCCTTCTTATAATCCGCTATGGCTGTTTCCAGTCCTTCGATTAACGCGGGTACGGTGGGTTCCACGAGATAAATCAAATCCGCTGGCAAGACCTCTGGGATTCCACCAACCTTCGTCGACACTACTTGCAAACTGTAAGATAATACATATATTCGTCATATACACATATTTACACTATCAGAACAAAAAGAAATATTAGTAAAAGAATAAAATAAATCGTCAGAGAGAAGTAAAGATGCAACGAGGAGATGTAGATGAATAGTTTTAGCGAGAGAGGAAGGATGGAAATACTAATGTGATTTTTACCCGCAAGAAGCTGCTTCTACAATAGCCATACAATAAGCCTCCGTAAGACTTGTGTTTAGAAAGATGTGACCCTTGTTCAGGACATGCCTAACTTGCGAGTGCTCCAAGCTGCCCAACAAGGTAACTCGGTGCTGTAACAAGTTTCTTTCTCGCACTTCCTCTATAAGCCATCTCTTTGGGCCGTCTCCACCAATTAAGAATTGTACGTTCTTATGCCGCGAACAAATCTCAGGTATTATATGGGCTAGGAGGTCAACACCTTTCCTGTGCACTAATCGTGATACTATCACTATGGTAACTGAAATGGACAATTATATTGCGATAACTACATAACGGTGAAATTATGGTATGGTATAATTGAAAGATCTTTAGATCTGTGGACTCACTAAAATCATTACTCCGTTTACTGATATCAGGTGTGAATAACGTGGTGTCCACAGCATTTGGAATAACTGAGACTTTCTCTTTCTGCACTTTCGCTCGTAATACTGTATTTTCCTTCCCAGTATGAGACACGCATATACAATGATCGCAGTCGACCAGTGATATCTCAAGAAATTTATTCGTCAGAATAGCAGAGGCGTCCGCGAAGCCAAAAAGAGAATGATCCGTGAAAACGGTCTACAAATCGTGGTGTTAGTTGTCGCGTGCAATGTTAGCTATATGAGTTTGAAGTTAGACGTATACAAGATATCTCGCTGTACATATAAAATTCCCGCGTATGTACGTGTAAATTGGATCAAACTGAACAAAAAATTCCTCTACCATTTTGCAAACAATTGCCTGAGATTTTATCAATTGAAGAAGATCGATGAATGCTACGTTTGTCATCGTATGACTGTATATTAAAGGTTCTCTACCATTTTGCAAATGATCACATAAATTTTTAGTTATTAATCGCCGAGATTGCGTGCAATTATTCATAATCTTCTTTAATCAATTACTCAAAATTTTACGCAATTGTTTGCAAAATGATAGAGGAATTTCTGTTCAATTTGATTTCATCCATACATACACAAAATTTCTATATATTATTGTTAAACTCCCCATGTATATATATACACTACACTCAACATAACTAAACCTTACTTTCAGTCCCATTAATCTACCAATCAACATCCCCTCATGTGCTAAAGCAGAGAATGCAGAATGGCCATGTATTATCTGTATGTCTTCTCTTATGAAGATGTATCTAATGAGCGGAAGAGAACATATCATCGTTGGAAGCACACACTGATTGTAGAACACTTTTACAGGAATGTAATATACCTTAAATGAAACAAATGTGTAAGAAGAAAATTTGAGCTGTCAGGCAGTCCACTGCAAATCACTGATAACAGTGATCGATGAAACATACTTTTAAACCGTTTGTCATGTACCGTACTCCTACTCTATCACCATAGGAGTGCGTAAGTATTACCACTTTATGTCCAAGCTCTAGCAAGCATTGGGATAAATTGAAAATGTGCTCCTCGACGCCGCCCATGTTTGGATAAAAGAAATCCGAGACCATGCTGTAATAGCAGATTGTCATATATTATAGATATCGTGGGTAGAGAAGGGATAAACACAAAAAGTGTTGGTAAACAATGGCTGCATTCGTTTTAGACGTTTTCATGCTGGAAGCATGATTCGGCCTTCCTTTGATGTTGTAATGAGCAATAAAGATAGAACTACGTTATCAGCGCAGAATCGTCCAAAACAAATTAAGCAGTTTGCTTAAAAAGATTATACGAACCATATCTTATGCTTTACACCACTCATTTTTACACCCATACATGATTCATACTGCTTGATGTGACGCTTGCTGTATCGCAATATCGTCGGTGAAGCTGGTGTCGCGTGCAGAGTCATTTAAAGATCTATCACATTGTTAGAGTTATATTATCAATATATCGTTGCTGTACAAGGTTAATGGAGCATCAGGGAATGTTGTGTCGAAATACAAACGAGACAACTATCACATTTCTTCAGTTCCATCAATATTGCACACTTTTCACAGATGATTCATCTGCATCATGTATAAAAATGATCTCATTTTCCTTTTTTGTAATAATTTGTATTCGTAGTTTTGACAATATTCAACCAATCCTCAATCATTCGATTCGGGAAGTACACTTCTGACATCTATGTTGGACGGTGATCATCCGTGTACGATAAGATTATCGACGTATTCAAATTTACTATAAGTCGATAATATCATTTGCGATAAAGCTACAAATAATTCCCCGTAGAATGCGACACCATCGGTTTGATGAGTCGGTGAGACTCTTTTTACTTCGTTTCCTTGATGTCGCGCATGCGTGCAAAAGTGACGTCATGCCAGTAGCAGATAGAGAGAGAGAAAGAGACTATAGATTGAAGATTAAATTTGACCTAAAATCAAGAAGTATGTTGATTCATCAAAATCTAATCTTTAATTCGCACTCCTCAATTTCCAATTTCTAGTCCGATATGGGCTTCAAGCTACCACACACACACACACACACACACACACACACACACACACACACAAAATGACATAACTGTATGTACACTGATATTCCTTTGAGAGTCCTTTGAGTGAGAAAAGAGTAGATGAACGCGCCTGGAGATGGTACGCTTATCTACACTATTCTACACCGAAAAAGGACTTAATTAATGAACATCAGTGTACATAGCATAAGATCGTCTCGACCAATGAACACGATTTGCAAATCAACATGACAGCTTTTTCCCAGATGTTCATTGGTTAAGGTAGTTTTATGCTACGCATATGCAGCTATTAGTATATTCGACTGGTTCTGGGTTAACTCACTCCGGGTTATTCAGCTTACGTTTATTGGTCGAACAAGTACTTATAAGCTTTCTGATTGGCTAGTAGAGACTTAGATGTCATTAATTGCTCTCGGAGCGATTAATCCAGGGCCAGTCGAACACGCTATATGTTATTTTGTGTGCGATGCCTTTTAATCTCCTTTTTTGTTCGTATGAGCGCCAATTGTTAATGGCTATGTAGATTTCAAGGCTCTCTTATATTTATTTATAACAATTCCGTGTTACTTCGCGCCGAAGTAAGCGACTGGGAGTTACTGCATGCAAGATTAACGCAGCGCAAAAAAAAGGAAAAACTGCGTCCCGATCGATGTCGGCAATTAAACGCGCAACTGCTAGCGCCGAGTTCTCGCGTGCGTAATCTTATCTTGCATCTCATGCTCTATGCAACGAGTACTTACACACGTGATGCGTGTGTAACGAGCGCGATAAATATCGCGTTATTGTTATCGCGCACAATATCGGTACATAAACTCCAACGTTCATTGGTAGCTTGCTTAGATTCCGTCTTCCTCCGTTTGCCGCGACGAATAACAAAATCGAGTGGAATCCGATGCGACCGGTTATTTCGAGCACGACAGAGGTATAATTTCCGCGAATAGTCTCCCTTCTCTTATCGTCTCACTGCAGCTTGTCACATTTTATCACATTTGACTCGACGCGACACGGAACGATAACCTGCTTTGCCAACGAGGTCACATCTCTATTTGCCAGACAAACGAAAGAATATTACGCAGTCGTGTTTTAACATTTGACCAAACACGTAGTAGCGGGATTGGCGAGTCGCCGTGAACGTTGAAGAGAAATTTATCTCGAAGTAGAGTCGTGTGTCATACTAGTAAGAGGAAAGAATCACTTGTCAAGAATTTGATGTGCCTGCAGACCGCATTTCTCGTTTATCCCTCGTAAACGACGAAGTAGTCATTCTCTTCACTTTCTACGATATTCTTCGGACGATAGAGGCGATTGAGAAATCTACGAAGTTCTCGAGATGGGTATCGAACACAAGGTATGCGAATGCGCCGGTTTATCTCGCTGTGTACACCTTATCATTTCTGAAATTCGAGTCACATGTTGAAAGATAGCGAATAGGTACTTTTTTTTATCAATAGTTATACTAGGAGCGTATTCGACATCACACACACACACACACATTGTACGTCCTTACTCCAAATTCCGTTTTTTTTTTATACGAGCGTGCCGTATGACGTCGTTCGGCCTGAAAATCGAAAAAACGTATTTAGTGTTTGAATACATTAAAGAATACTCAAGAATATAATCCCAGTAAACGCTCATTGACCACTTCGCGGAAATCGAGGAAACGTTCAACCTTGACGTCCACCAGCCAGATTTAATCAGCTCGTTTTCTTGCTAACGAGTCAAGCATTTGTTATGCATTCGTGTCGAGATTCATTCAAATAAATGTCGATTCTTTCGAGACCTTTAAATTCTCGTTGAGATTTCTTGGGTCTATAGGTAGGTTCGTTCTTTTTAATTAAACTGGTGCAAACTAATGCAATAAGTTAGAGTAAAACAAAATATATTTGTCTCACTTATTGCACCAGTTCAGATAGTTCAGCTAAAAAGAACAGATATATTTCGCACTTGTTTGTGCGGAGATACAAAGGGAGACAGAAGGATGCATCGCTTTTTTTATCGTTAATTTTCCGATAAAAAATATATATAATTTGCTGCGCAGGAGAGTGAGCTGCGTATAATTTCCCAGGAAAAAAGTTTATATATAATCGTAAAAATAATATTTGGTTATATATAATTATATATAAAAATTATATATATATATATATAAAAGATTTACATATGACCATATATGAGCTTTTTATCCCGGGTTGCTACTAGTGGTGATGGAGTTGCGTTAAGCTGTATTTTCATTGGAATGCGAGGACTTATGCAACAAGCATCTTGAATGCAACAATCCTCTTGTTTTTTCCTGTTGGGAAAAATGTTTATCATGTCTAATCCAATCGTTGAGGAAAATGTGATCGTGTCTATGTGCAAGTAGAAAACGCAGCCAATGAAGGCTGTATTGCGTGTTTTGTCGAGGGTTGTCAATGTGATTTCACAATTAGACTATTTGTTATTTTATTAGTTCCTCAGAAACAACTGTAAATACTCGTACGTAATGAATTTTATGTCGAAATTCAGCTCAAACGATACTATTAATGCGAAAAGCGAAAATTGGCTCGAGTATAATTTACTGTTTTCGGAATACTGATTGAGATCCACTGCTCAGTGGCGGTCAAGCGACATCGTGATGCAATGTGTTTTCCCCCTTAAATAGCAGATGACGTTGCGATCACCGTATACGAACGATTTTTGGCAGAGTACTAAATATTTTTTTTTAGAAATATATATCTATTCGTATAATTAACACGAGCTCGATCTTTCCCGTTTCGTCGATTGCAAGAAAAAAACAACGCAAAGATTTATTATAGAGCCAATTTTAGCAATCGTAACACGTCTTATTACTTTGTTACATTCGTCACATTAAGCTGTATCGTAATTATTATTTAAATGATCTATTAATACCCGGTGAGAAAATTGTACTTTAAGAAAAGACAGGTAATTGCATATAGTTCTGGATTCATTATAATTAATATCTTTCATGGCAGATGTCTGAAAAGAATCCTGAGATGAGAGAGACTGCTGCAAGAATTTGTCGAGATTACTTACACGGTGTTTGGAAACATATCACAGCGCAAAATATTATTCTTAAACGTATCAGGTTTGTGGAAATTTTGTTTATTATATCTGCAGGTAACATATGTGTTGCACATGATTTCACATTACACTTTAATTATGGAGACGCAATAGAACGACACTGGAATGATAAAACTTATATTAAATAATGACTTACAGTGGTGGCTTAAGCAATTGGTTATACAATGTCGAGCTTCCTGAGGGAACAACCCCAGTTAGGGGAGAACCTCGCCAAGTTTTACTACGTCTATATGGACAAGTGCACGGGGAAAGGGCTTTGGAAGGAATTATCACAGAATCTGTTATCTTTACTTTGCTTTCTGAGAGAAAACTTGGTCCTAAGTTACATGGTGTTTTTCCTGGTGGTCGTATAGAGGAATATATACCAGCACGGCCTTTGCTCACAAAGGAATTAGCAGATCCAACATTGAGTTTAATGATCGCTGAAAAATTAGGACAAATACATATGATGCAAGTACCAATCAGCAAAGAGCCTACATGGCTATGGGACACGATGAATAAATGGCTTAATTCAGCGACTGATATTTTGGAGAGTACTGAAGATATTGATGTCCGATATTCAGATAGCGTTAACATTATAAAAAAAATAGACTTGGAGCATGAGATCAAGTGGTTCAAGTAAGTAAAAAAAGTAGCAATAATTCACTAAAGCTAAAAATATTACACCCAATTTCATGCCTTTTAATATGCATGCTGACTAACATACTGTAGGCAGTTTAGTTTAATACACAGATCACCCAGTGTACAGTGATTCATGCAGTGAACTGATGTGTTGGTCAGCATGCATATCAGAAGGCATGAAGTCATGTATCGTGTAATTCTAGTTTAGTTCAGTGCGCGCGAAAACTAAATATGTCTAATATGTTCCCAGGACACTTGTTTTGCAACAAAAACAGCCAGTTATATTCTGCCACAACGATATGCAAGAAGGCAACATACTCTTACGCGAGAATACGCGAAAGCCCGAGTTAGTAGTCATTGACTTTGAATATTGTTCCTACAACTATCGGGGATTCGATATCGCTAATCATTTCGCCGAATGGCAATACGACTATACGGCACCAGATTATCCTTTCTATCACGAACGTCTCACCGCCGGTCCCACAAAAGAACAAAAGGTAAGTTTGAAAAAAAGAAAGATCTGGAAAGTCAAGTCTTGGTAAGATGGTCCTCATGATTATAAATTTAATATGTTTCGTCCGGTGTTATCATATCATGAATTTTTTTGTAAACATATTGAGGCATTGATGGACTGATGATCATAAGTAAATTAATCGCATTTAAAGATAGGTATCGTTAGTAAAGTGACGTATAATTAAATTTATATATATATATATATATATATATATATATATATATATATATATATATATGTATGTAAAGGAAATTGTAGCGCTATAAAGAGGAGGAAATTTATGAATTTAAAAGCACCCAATATCAAAATACATTTTTTATTGGTTAGGAAAATATTTCTTTATCTTATTTTTAATTACATGATAATTTATTATCATACATATCGAACGTTATGTTTGTATTTAATTTTGTAGTGATTTATCTCTCTCACTTATCCTTTATATGAAAAAAAGAAATTCCTATTTTATAAATATAAGAAACTCATAGAGATGTAGTACGCTAACTTTAGTTTTGGTCAAGGTAGTACGATTTTGTTATTACGTGAGGAGATAGCCTTCAGCCGTAAATATGTTACTTTGTACCGTGCCAGCGCCTTTACAGTAAGTTAGACGTCAGCTTGGCGTGTGCTGCGTGTGTATATATTAGTTTCACAGGACTGCAATTCATCAAGACAAGGCTGATGCCTGCTATGAAAAAAATGGATGGGATGTGAAATTGTCTATGTGATGGATCCCGACTGGTGCATTCATTTGTGGAACCAAAGTGACCGGTGACTTGGCAAACACCAAATCCACATCCGATCATCTACAGTACTTGTACACGTCCTCACAATTCATAATCTGCATATTTTTACAAACGTGTCGTTTCACAGTAACGATTAAAAGTGCATTATCTTGGATTTGAGCACTTTAATCGGCGAGATTTTAATCGGCATAATTCTGCGATCTGTAATCACAATAAGTTAGAAGCTTATCTTGTTAATAGTAAAAGACGCTACATTTCTGTTAGGGATTTAATATTGTCAAGTAAATAGGAAATATCTATCTCTTAATTGCACACAGTATGAATAATTAGTATGATCGTACGATTATTAAAATACCTGATATTTTTTTTCCTAATATTTATGTGTATATATATATATATATATATATATATATATATATATATATATATATATATATATATATATATACACATATTTTATATATGTAATAGAGTAATATCATATATTATTTATGTCAATGTATAATGCATCAAATTAATCCTTTTATACCTTTTCCAGATGCTTGATGTTTATATCTTATTCATATCTTATTTATATTTCATTTATTAATAGTTAAAATTCTGTTCGTGTTTTTATCGATCTTATAACTAAAGTTTTTAACATAATTTTGAATAGTTTTATTGAATAGTTACCATAAAATTTATCATAATTTCAATACTAGTCGCGATGAAAGAAATATATTTTTGCAATTATTAAATTCCTTATTTTACATAATATTTTACAAATTGACTTTTTTTGACAGCTCAACTTCATAAGAGCCTACCTGAGGTCATTGGGGAAAGAAGGGACTATGGAGGAGGAACGTATCATGATGGAAGTGAAGATGTTTTCATTAGGTAGTCACTTGTTCTGGGGTCTCTGGAGCATCGTAAATGCAAAAATTTCTCAAATTCCGTTTGGATATTGGGTACGTATATATCAATTAGATTTGCACATTATTTTATTATTTTTTATGTATTTTATTATTTTGCGATCACTGATCGTTATTTTATCGGCATTACTATAACATTTTAGGATTACGCTGTCTCCAGGCTAAAGAATTACATGTACTTAAAAGAGAAAATCGTTACCTCTGGGCCACCAGTATTGGATGGCAGCCTTAAGAGAAAGTCTAGCGATATAGATTGAGAGTGTAAGATTGAACAAAAGAAGATGCAGCTTATATGTTTTGCTACATGAAAATATTCTCTATTTGTCAACTCTAATCGATGGGATCATCAAGCTTTGGCAAGCAACAAGACAATTTAACACAATATGCCAAGTTATGATTTGTTTCAACATCGTACGATGTGTTGTTTTCTGAGTGCACAGGCTGTTTCGAATAGATGAAATATTCGCCAGACGCTTGCGAAACAATTAAGTCTTGACGAACAAATTGCAGGAGTATGTTGTGACAAGTAATCAGAACGAACAGAGTAAAATAAGAGTAAATGGAGGATCAACCTTGTGATATAAAATAAGCAGGTGATACGCATGAATCTCCGTTTACTATTTTAACTGCGTTCGCTGAATCTTAGTGCTAACAGGAAAAGTGCAAAGTTAGATATATAATCTTTTTTTATAATTTTCATAAGATATTTACAAACGATGAGAAACGTTGGTAATTCGATAAAGTAGGGCAAATATTGGAAACTAAAAGGCTGTTACATAGTGTACAAAGTCATGTAAGTCGTAAGAAAGTCTGCAATATGTTTGTAGTGTATTATTTTATCTCTTTTTTAATATGTTAACTTTTATATACTTATTATAAGACTATCCAGAATTTTGTTATCAACAACAGTGTGTGTCCATTTGATTTTTCACATTAAATCGTTTGTTATAAATGTGCAATAATTTTGCATAAATTTCTTGTAACAGAATCAGCGTGGTACTTAATTGTGATGCGTTTATTTTACTCAAGGTCGACTAAATACTTAAGTATCATCATTAAGCACAAGTACTTAATATTGTGTAAAAGAGAGAAGCACCGAACATTTATAATGTGATCAATACTTACGAACATAAATAAAATGCACCAAGAACTGAACATAAAAAATGTCCTATTATTCACACATACTTGCATATAAAATATTTAATTTTCGTTTTTTTCTCGGTTTCCTATTTGTAACTATTCGTAAAAATGATGTTATCTTTGTGCTAAAAAAAAAAAAAAGGGGAGTTACAAAGGATATAATGTATAAATTGTCAAGTGTAAGAAATAATCATTTATATTCATTGACGATACGTTAGGAAATTGATTTTGTAATTGTGAGTGTGTGAGTGTATCTTCATGGTGTGTTATATGTGTATACATGAATCAGCGCTGCACTGATATAACAAATAAGTCAAAAATAACTGAAAAAACTCTTCAAAGAGTAAGAATTTCGGAGGCTCTGGATTCCAACAGTTTTTCCATTGAGCTAACGTCCTTGCACCATCCGTCAAGACGTTGCACCATTCCTGCAATTTGGCTGCGATCCAACACGCGCGGCTGTACCCATGTCATGTTAACGGTACCCGCCACTTGGTCTATAGCACCTCGCACAAGACCTTGGGCGAGAGCTTTCATCACCAGTAGCTCCACTTCGCCGAGAGGCAGACGCGTCTCTTGAGAGATTTCAGCGAACGTCAATTGCCTGGAACAGAAAAATCATTACGCGTTAATGAATTAACAGTCAAGTAACTGACTGAATGACTTTATAAAAAATCAATTTTTACTCGAGATGTTTCAGACAATATGAATGAAACTGTTAAAATTCAATTATACGTACCGATTGTTAGCTTGCCGCTTGAAAGTCATTTCCATGAGGCACAGCAAGGAAATTTTCTGCCTCAATTTCAACTCTTGTGCAGCCAGATCAGCCACTTTGCTCCATTGTGGCTTTAATCTCTCCAAAGCGACAATATCACCAGCATTGAAGGCTTGCAGTAGATCGACGAGCCAGCTGTTTGATGTACCTCTTAATGACTCCAAGACTGGATGTGCCAGCAGTTCTCCAAGATTATAAACACCCTCTCCTAAGAGCGCCGCGAGTCCAAGGAAAAAAGCATGTTGCTCTTGTTCCTGCCTACTCAAGCTGTTCAGCTCAATACAGCCGAGATATCTTAACAATGAAAGACATAGATTGTATGATATAACTTAATATTTCTTGTTCATATTCTCCAATTTGGACAAGTCACAAGTGAAAGTACCTCAATGCTGTACGATAATATTCTGCATGTTTGCCTTGTAATCTATAGAGCCGACTGGCTAGAAGATAGAAACGTCCATGAACTGTTGTAATACCATCAGCATTATCTAGCATAGCTTCTACCTCTTCTATGATCTTTTTTGCTTGCTCTTGGTTATTCAATTTATCCAACAAGATTTGTCCTTTGAGGACCTTACATAGGGCGACAGCCTCATTGTTACTCTGGACCTTGGCTTCAGTTTTCTCCAAGAAATTAATTGCTTCCTGCTTGTCTTGGAATTGTTGTATTACATGTGCTAATATCTCCACCAAAGACAATGGATTTATTCTGTATATAAAAATATAATAAACAGTATTAATGTTTATTTTCAAATAAGAAGAATAAAGAGCAATGTACAGAACAAAATGATAATATAGGATATACAGAAGTATCCATTATAAGACCATATATTTATTTAAATTTAAAATATAGATGCAAATAGCAATACTCACTTGTTCTCGAAAGTTGACAGAAAGTTAACATATAATTGCACGAGATTATCTCCCTGCTGGAGCGCTGGATGTTTCACAAACGTCTCTAATTTAAGTGTCAGCTGATGCCAAAGCCTGCAAGTCACCGGGAGGAACGATCGGGTAACACGTATATTATACTTCCAACATCAAATTTTATTGTATGAAATATGCATATACAATCGAATTACCTTTTGCTATACAGCTCCTCAAACTGTAACCATTCCGCAGCCAGCTCCTTATCGGGAACATTTTGCTTTGAGCTGAGGAAGATATTCACGTCCTTCGCTGCCACGGACGCCGCCATACTTGATGATGCTTGATAACACGAGCGAATGCTATTTTTTCTCCGGATGTTTCAGTTCACGGTGCACGTAGGCATGAGATAGGAACCGCAGTTTACCAACCATTGTTAGTCTTAAGTTCTGATTGGTGCATTTCTGAAAATGGATGAACATGCACCAAAGTCTCCGCTACGAGCCGCCACCTCAATGAGAAATTGAGGACTATAAACAGCATCTATATCGATCATATACTTAGGAAAATAACGGGTTTAATGTACTCCTTGGATCCGTTATTTCTGTAAATTAAAGTCAGCGGCACACGATGCTTGTTTTCGTGCTGGATTGTTTGCTGGATGGAAATACTCTGATGGAGATACTTCTGATTGGTCCGTCTTCAGAAATGCACCAATCAGAACAGAGTATTTCCATCCAGCATGAAAACAAGCATCGTGTGCCGCTGGCCTTAGTTCCAAACTCTCCGTTATGCAGGATTCACACCGCGTCCGATGTCCGACGTACGACATCCAATAAAGAATAGCTTTCTAATGGAGAATTGAATTCTCTATTAGAAAACTGTTCTCTTATTGGATATTGGATATCGGATGTCGTACGTCGAACATCGGACGCGGTGTGAATCCTGCATTACGAGTCGTCACTTTTCTTAACGGGGAATTGAGGTAGTAAATAGTAATGGCTATGAACAGCATCTAGTCAATGCATTTTCTGTATTGATGTCATAATATAATTCAACAAGTGATACATATAACTACACATATGTTTCAAGTGCGTGCACTTTTGCATATATATGTGACCACGGAGCATGTGTCGTTACATGTCGTTTCATAACTTGTCATACTCGTTAATTTTAACGATTAACCTTTAGTGGCTCTGCATGAGTATTTCGAGTTTGGACGGTTTCTATTCATAGAAATTTCTCAGTACGTTAAAGGGTCCCGGATATACATTTTAGTTTTTTGCACAATGAAGTACAGGGCCCCTATTTTTGAAATATTTGCGTATAATTTTCATTGCGCAGCTATTTTATAGTATGATTAAACCTGCACAGTAAAACTTACGTATACGCAACTATTTCAAGAATAGGGGCCCAGGTATTTGTTCCAGAAACTTGAAAATATATTCGTGAATTTTTATAGATTTTTCAAATCATTTTAAGAATATGATAAAAGGGCCGGACTCGAAAGACCCATGTAGGGCCATATGTGGTGCTGTTTTTCACATAAGCCACTATAAGGGCCGATTTTTTTCAATAATTTAAACTTAGATTTCAACTTAAACTCTGTTTAAACAAACGCATTGTTAGAACAGAATTTAAACTTGAATTCAAGTTTAAACTGCTATTGAAAAATTGCTCTGAAGGGTTGATATTTCGCTTTGCAGGATAGACCGACGATTTTAATTTTCATACTTGATTTTTACACGTGAAAATACACAATATGAATTGAGTTTCAGATAAATCTGAGTAATTGAGAAAATGGAAAGAATATCAGATGTGTTTGGATGTAATTCCTGAGGAGTCTGCATACTTAGTAGTGACAAATCATTTACTTATAATTATGTTTTTTCTCTTGATGTTGCACAAGAAGAATTTTATGATATAGCAATTAAACGATTGATAGATAACATCTTCCATGGATACAATATTATAATATTGGCTTATGGCCAAACTGGTAAAATCCATTCAATGGGTACTAATTACACAGGAATTGAAGAAAAGAGTATTATATCCAGAGTTATTCAGGATATATTTGAAATGATTACATTGAAAGAAAATTGGCATTTCAAAATTGCAGTTTCATTTATGGAATTATATCAGGAGCAATTGTATGATCTTTTATCTGATAAGCAAAGAAGTCAATCTACTGTAGACATCAGAAAAGATGGAAAAAGCATAAAAATTATCGGTGTAATGAAGAAAGAAGTTACTAATGCCCAAGAAACATTGGAATGTTGGAGCCAAGGTTCCATAGGCCATGTAACTGGAGCAACTACAATGAATGCATATAGTAGCCGTAGCCATACCATATTTACTATCTGTATTCATTAGCAGAAGAAAGATGACCCAAATATAGCAACAGTGTAGCAAAGTTTCATCTTGATTTAGCAGGATCTGAACGCAGTAAAAAACCAGTCAAGCCACAGGGGAAAGATTTAAAGAAGATGTAAATATAAATAAAGGACTGCTCGCCTTAAGTAATGTTATTTTGCAACTCAGTGATGGTGCTTCTGAATTACTTCCAAATAATGAAGTTCAAAATATCAATAAGAAGCTAACACTCAAGGAGATTCTTGTATCCAAACTGATGAAAAGTATTCCTCAATAAACTATGGAAAAGTATTCCTCAATAAACTATGGAAAACTATGAAGATGTTGCCGAAATGGAAGAGGAAATTGAGAGGCTGCATGTGGAAAAAGAGGAGCATTTGTAGTACGCATGCAACATTACTTCCAAATTGGCTGGGACACGTCGTAATAGAGTGCAAGAGCTAAAAAAGAAAATAGCAGAGTTGACGCGTGAATGCTAGGAGCAGAATAAAATTATTTAGGCGAAAGAGAAGCGAGATCTAAAGGTAAAAACTCTCTCTACTGAAATACGGTCGTTAAGAGAAACCAGAGTCAAACTCATCAGGCAGATGCGCAACGATGCGAATAATTTTACAAACTCAATCAAATCAACAATCCAAACAAAAAGGATTGTGTAACTGTTGGCAAATTCATAGAATTGCGCAATACACAAATCGCGGATTTTTAGAAAAAAATTATCGAGTTGGATCAAGAAACCAAAGCAGATACGAGGTGAAGCATTAATAATCGTTATTTAAATCTTGTTTCTCAAAGTAAGACTCAGAATTGAATTTAGAGTTAAACATGAATTTTTCAGCTGAATCGCGGTTATAAATATAACGTTACATACAGACCTGTATTATTAATCATTTTTAAGATTTGTCTCAAGTGAGATACTCAGATTTGAATTAAGAGTTAGATGTGAGCTTTTTACTTGAATCGTGTATGACATTGTATTTGTAATCGTGATTCAATTGAAAAATTCACATACTTAAATTCAAACCTGGGTATCTTATTTGAGGCAAGTTTCAAGTAACGACTCTATTAATACTCTGGTTATATTAAATAATTTAAATTAAAAAAAAACTCATTCTAATTTTAAATTCACATCTGAGGATGTCACGTGGGACAAGTTTTCAGTAATGACTTAATATAGGCCAAAGTCTATTTTAAAATATTATTTCAATATTTCTCGTTGAGATGTTGGGGTTTCGGAAATCTATGCATCAGATAGACGCAACAGGGATTGTATCATCGAAGAATAGACAAGTTTTTCTTTCGTTTCATTTTGCTAGCGCTGGATCTAACAATCTAACGAATGATTAACATCGAAGTCTTACAGTCACAATCATACAATATTATTCTTTTCTAATTGGAAGCCTTTCAGCTTTTACATCAACGTTCGCTATGAAGAATAGAATTTACAATGGAGAGAGAGCAGCGACTCCGGGCAGTACTTTACCCTCTAGGAGTTCTAAACTTGCACCACCGCCTGTGCTCACGTGACTTACTTTGTCTTCAGTTTTCCATTTGGCCGCGCACGTCGCCGTATCTCCGCCTCCGATTATAGTGATAGTTCCCCGAGTTGTAGCTTCGACGATATTATCCATTAGGCTTTTCGTGCCTTGGCTGAAATTCTCAAACTCGAACACACCCGCTGGACCGTTCCATACTATGACTTTCGCTCTCTTAATCGGTTCTGTGTTGAGATAATGATCATCATTATAGTAACACTATTTATACGTGCTTTGAGAAGTATATGTTAAGTAAGGATAGCCATGAACAATGTGAAATAATATGCCTACCGGCAAATAAATCTCTCGACCGTGGACCGACATCCAGCCCCATCCAATTATCGGGTATACCGTTTTCGATATCAGCACTTCCCATTGTCGCGTTTTCTGCGAACTTGTCCGCAGTCACGAAATCTACCGGCAGGTGAATCTGCACGTTGTTCTTCTTCGCTTTATCTAACAGGTCGTTTACGATTTTGGCACCTTCTTCGTCGAACAAAGAACTTCCGATCTGAAGTCATGCAAACAAAAAGTATTTAGTCGTTAACATCACACTTCGTTGCTTATAATTTTTTATCGCACAAGATAAATGTCCCAATGACTAAACTAGTAAGAAAGCATGAGCATCAGTTTTGTTTTTACTAATAAATAATGGAATTACTGACAAAAGTAATGTTTGTATAAAACTTTGATTCTTCAGCAATTAAAAAATAAATAAAATAATAAATATATAGTGCAATTATAATTTTAATGAAATGTTAGATAATGCTGGTTGTACCAGTAAAAGTATTGGACTAAAAAATGATTAAATTACTTAAATGAAACAGAAATATTAAATACAAGTATATTATTTCAATCACTAGGACATTTATTACAACAGTACCTTCATGTTTTTGGACACTTTCAAAAATGTGTATGCCATTCCGCCACCAATAATCATCTCGTTTACTTTATCCAGTAAATTATTAATTAGCTGAATCTTGTCAGCAATTTTGGCACCTCCAAGTATAGCTAGGAATGGTCTCTCTGGATTATCTAAAGCTTTAGCAAAATATTCGAGTTCTTTTTTGAGTAGGAAACCGCTTGCTCTTGTTTCAAATCCATCTCCCATCATAGAACTGTGAGCACGGTGAGCAGTTCCAAAAGCATCATTTATATACACATCTCCTAGCTTTCTTAAGGATGCTCTAAACTCTGTAATCTTATCCTTGTCAGCCTTAATCTAAAATAAATTAACTGGTTAACATTCTTCACATTTCTGTGCTCATGTCTGACAGTCATTATTAGATTAAATAAAAACATTTAAATTTATAAAAAATAATCTTATATGCATTTAACAATTTAATCTACATGCATACCTTACTTCCATCAGGACCTACTCCTTTGCCTTCCTCTTCAATATGGAATCTTAAGTTTTCTAATAAAATGATAGTACCAGGTGTTGGATTGACACAAGCAGTTTCTACTTCAGATCCAACACAATCATTCAAGAATAAAATCTCCTTTCCCAACAATGTTTTTAGCTCTTCAGCTACAGGTTTTAATGTATACTTTTCATCCTTTTTTCCATCAGGACGACCCAAGTGGGACATTAGAACAACAGACTTGGCTTTCTTGTCAATGGCATATTTCACTGTGTCTAATGCAGCTACAATTCTTTGATTGTTTGTTATCTTTCCTTCTTTCAGTGGCACGTTAAAATCAACTCTGAAGAAAATAACCAGATATAAAAAAATATGAAGAATACTAAACAATTAAGTGATATTACAATTATAACAATTCTTGTAAGATCTTTTATATTGAGCTTTTTATCTGGAAATACATACCGTATTAGCACCCTCTTATCTGTCAAATTTACTTTATCAATGCTGAGCTTGTTGAGAGCCATAACTACAGTGCTTTTTCTTATAGTTCTGTTTACAACGATATTGTAAAAGAATAAGGGAATGCTATGAAGCACGAGGAATCTTGTCAACGTTCTATTAAAAGAATAATTCACACATTCACGTAATCCACCACTGTTCAGAAAACACAAGCGCGAGAACTTGAAATCGCGACAGGTCAACAGGCTAAAGTCAAAGCAAGGTCGTCGAATGTGGCGACCTCCTGTAACTCTCCGTAATACGCGATGTATTTGATCTAACCAAAATAAAGTCATTACGTTACTTTAGAAGCAGACATTTGTTGATATTTGTGAGATAAGACATTTGTTGACATTCGTGAGAAGGATGCCATCTGCTGAAATTCAGTCGAGTGGATAAAATTCAACGAACTGTAATTTCCACAAAAATAATAACATATAGGTGATTTGAAAAACATTTTATACTGTGTGTAAAAAAAGTCTTTGTAGCATTTAAATATATTTTTGAATGTAAAGCTTAATTATATTTATTATTTCATTTTTAACAAATCTTTAGAATAATTTTTACAATATGTTATACAATAGAAGTCAAATTCATCAAATGTCAACATTCTAGATAAGGTTTATCAAGTTATGTGACGTGAATGAAATTTTACAAATTACAGACTTCAAGATGTGAAACGTTTTCTAAGCCATATCGTTATAGTTATTTTTACTAGAGTTACAGTCGAATTTTGTGTATTTTTCACGATAGAATAAATGTTTTATCTATCGTTGAGTCTGAATCGTTCTATCTGAATACGATTCGCTTAATTTATCGTTGAGTTATATCACAGTCGCCGTTCTTTGTTAGGATAGTGGCGGTTCGTAGCGAAGATTTTGGAATTACTGTAATATTTTTATCTAAATTCAAACCCTATTTAGGCGAAACTTAAACCAGTTTCTCAGTCTTAGACTGGTATTCATAGTCGGATCTTATATTTAAGACTGTCGTAAGTTCATTTGCAGATACTCCGTAGCCAATGAAATGATCCGTACAGTATCTGAAGATGAACTTAAGCAGTCTTAAATATAACATCTGACTATGAATACCAGCCTTATCCACAGAATACAGCGATCCCGCTAGATGGCGCTAGATAATTCGTTAACCGCAGACTTTTCACAGCTAAAATAGCGCCAGGTTGTTAGTCGATTCGAACTGTGTTTTACTGGATCGGCTATTATTTTGAAGTATCCTTCAATTAAAGGTAAAATTCATACTGTTAAACTAAGTAAACGATATTTGTGTATGATTTTCTTTATGCGAACAAATCTCATTCAAAATTTTGGCACTCGACAGATTGATATTTATATTCGTATAGCGCGCCGTAATGAATGCGTGAATTTAAAATATTTCTCGAACCATTTCATATCATTATTGCTTTTGCATAAGTTACAATCCGTTGATTTTAGGTCTATTCTTTTTAATTGAACTATCTGAACTGGCGCATATTGATGCAATAAGTTAGAGCGAGACAATATATCTTGTTTTACTCTAACTTATTGCACCAGTCTGCGCTAGACCTTTTGTCTCTTCAAATAAACCTTATACGTTCCAAATCGACTAAACGTCTCCATGGTGCTGTAAAAATGGCGCCCGTTATCAATCGTGTCCGTTAGCCGGTGCTGTGAAAATTTTAATCACTATCATTATTCAACGTCCTCAGGATGAAAACAGGCGACTTTGAGTCTCCGCAGAAAATGTCTTCGAAGATTCTTAGCGCCAGTTCCTCGAAGATGAAGCTCAGCGGGGCCCAGCGGCCCCGTAAAGCCGGCTGTGAGCGTAATGTCGCGTCGGTGCTTCTTCAGCAAAGACAAGCTCTTCGCATTATTCAGGAAGACGTCGACGTTACACCTAAGCCGCTGATTCATCCGGCATTCGACGTTATCGAGGAGAATCAGATCACCGCGTTAGAGACCCTCGGGATCTTCCAGACAGGAAGTAGTGCTCAATTGATGTCTCCGTCCGACTTAAGCGGTCTCAAAGCCAGCTCTTCCATTCTCCTCAAGTCTTCAATGCTGTCAGACGACATGCAGTTGGAGAGTTTACTCATCACTGAAGTGTGCGAACCCTTGCAAGAGGAAGAAGACGCTGCACCAGCACCGTTCTTCTTACCCAGGTAATAATTTTGATAAAAGATGTAAAAAATCAATTGAAAAAAATACCATTTTATTCGTGACGATATATAGTCATACACACAACAATTATAATATTAAAGTTCTTCTTTTTTCGCAAAATATCCATTTGTAAAAAAAAAATATTAAAGTTCTTCTTTCTGTTGTAATATCCATTTGTAGAAAAAAATGGAATAAAATAAGAAATAGAGAAGAAACGTAAAATTTGTAATAATATTGAATTTTTAATAATGGTGAAATTTTTAATTATGCTTCTATGTAGAGATGATTCAATGATATTACTCGAGCGTTCGGAAACTGTGACAATTACCCTGAAAGAGACGCAGACATTCTTCATCTTCGAGATGCCACAGTTGACCGGCGATTTGTTGACGCCAGAAGGACAGGCAATTAAACAGGAAAACGAATATTACGAGTACGTAACAGTGGGACCTGGCTCGAATCGGAAACTGATAGACGCTGAGACGCAGACGATACGCGTGTTAACAAAATCGCGCGGTACCTATTTGGGCGCGAGACCTAGGAAAAATCAAGGAATGTTCGTGAACAACTGGGTGATTCACGACACCTACGCAATGCCGGAACTGATAACAGAGAGAGACGGACGTTTGATGGTGCATTCGAAGGAATCGATGCGACGGATGCGAGAAGCACAAGTAAGAAAAACTTCAATATTGTTTTTCTTATTTACATATTACTTAAAATTATATAAATAGTTATAATTATATAAATACTTAAAATTATATAAATTAATGCTAATCCCTTGGATACTGGGAAACAATAATGTATAAAAATTTAAAGATTTTAAACATAAAATATTTGCTACAAATTAAATAATTTTAATTTAAAATATTCAACAAGTTATTAAATTTTTAGTTAATAAATTTTTTGTATAACTTAACTAATATTTTGATGACAGGAGTTGCAGTACAAGCTTCCCGAGCCCGAAATAACTCTCGACCCAAGCCTTGAAGAACAATTGTCCTACATCTGCCAAAACACTCGCTTCCTAGATGCAGCGCGCGTGATGGAACGCCTAATTGCGAACAATGTGTTCCTAGCAGTGCAGAAACGTTTCACCGGAGTGACTGTGCGCGATCCCTGCGCTTTGGATCTCTGCTTCGACTACCGGTTGGACTTACTATGGATGCACGTGTGTGACGAAGCTCGCGGCCGGCCGGTCGCGTCGTTTCGTTGGAGTCCGGCTAATACGAGCGTCCTTGCCGTTGGCTACGGCGCACAGACTGATTCAAATGACAAGCGGAGCGGTTTGGTGCTGATTTGGTGCGCCAAAAATCCGAGTCATCCCGCTCGTCGCTACATATTCGACAGCTCGGTGTCAGACATCAACTGGAGCACAATTCGACCAAATCTCCTGGCGATCGGTTTTTACGACGGTAATGTCAAAGTCATCGATGTTAGCGCTAAGGATGTCAACGTGATCAGACAGAGTCAGAGGGAGACGTCGCCAGCCTGTTCGCCACATTGGCAGGTGAGAGACAAAAACCATTTACGACGTTGACGTGGTTATAATCGCGATATGTTATATGGCCATTTTATTATATTATTTTACGATTATCGATAGTATCTTCTGTGTTTTCTTTCAGGTACAATGGTGGGGCGGTGATGAGCAGTTCGACTACCAAGAACAGATCTACACTAGTGATCAAGACGGTCGGGTGTACTGCTACCGTTTCGGCGAAGACTTCCTCGCCTCGGAGATTATGCGATTGTACCGCGTAGAAGGTAAATTAATGGGTGTGACCAGGAATCACCATTGCGTGGCCTACGACGTGCCCATTAGTCGGCAACCAGGTGCCTTAGTTCTGCGAAGACACCCCAGCATCAGTAACATTTATCTCGTCGGTTCAGACGAAGGTTGTATCTATCGATGCTCTACTACTTACTTGCGCCAGCATATAGATAGTTTCCTGGCGCACGACGGCCCGGTTTATTCTCTCGAGTTTTCGCCGTTCTGTCAGAAGCTCTTTCTCACTTGCGGTGCTGACTGGTGCACCAGGATTTGGGCAGAAGGTCTCACCGAGCCACTTATTACTTTGTCAACGACGATGGCGTGCGTGCGAAGTGCACAATGGAGTCCTACATGTTCCACCGTCATCGCTAACGTGATCAACAATCAAATCTGCATCTGGGACATACGCAGAAAAACCTACAGCCCGGTATCCGTGACAATCTCCAACTACGGCGCCAGGCTGGTCGCTGCTGACTTTACAACGAATGGGAATCAACTAGTGGTCGCCGACATTGAAGGCGCAGTTTATGTCTACAACCTAGAGGGTATGCCGTTCCCGCCGTATGACCAGAACAAAGTGCTGATCGAGTCCATCCACAAGGCGCTGCTGACCAAGCCGGGATTACTGAACAAACTGAAGAAGCTAGGTCCACCTTTCTGATCATCTATATCTCATTGCAACAAAGGGGTGAGTCAGAAAATATTTAATAAATATTAAATAATAAAAATTAACGTGTGTGTATCGTCGCGAAGCACTTTACTCGTACTTTATTCGAGAATAAAAGTACCTTACCCGACCGCTCTCAGCTGTCGAACATAAAGCAATCAGGAAATAGATAGGTACTTGTGGAATATCGAAGTTGAAGAACTTAGAAAATAAACAGAATTATACGATCAGCTCTGAATAATCTGAACTCTGATCAATTATTGAGAAAGTCCGACATGTTCTCGTCGAAGCTTTCTTATCGACCGCAGGACGATAAAGGGACCGACACGTGGGGACCCCTTTCGGTCTGGTAAACATGACGGCCCCACGGGGCCTCATCGCGACGAGAGATAGAAAGAGAGAGAGGGAGAGGGAGAGGAAGAAGGACAGAGAGAAAGAGAGAGAGAGAGCAAAGTGAGTGTTCAGACTTGCCGCGGGGCTTCCGCCGGCGGCGGGGCCCGCTCGCGCCAGTCGGGCCCAGAGCGAAAGAGTCTTCCGGTGCGCGGGGATGAGAGAGGGGCCTCACCCTGCCTGCTCTGTGCTCCCTCTCTCTCTCTCTCTCTCTTTCTCTTTCTGCCCCTCTCCTTCTCTTTCTTTCTCTTTTTCTCTCTCTGTTGCCGCCGCTCGCGGGCACGAACCGCGCTACCGCCGTCAGCGGGCAGTCTCTTATTACGCCCGCGCTCAACTACGCGAACTAAGTACTCTTCTTAGGCGGACCGCTCTCGATGATAACTCGGATCGCGCGGGCTATCAGTAGAGAATACGCGCGGACTCGCGGCCAAATAGCAAAATCGCACGTTGAGTCGAGTAAGAAAGCGAAAGAGAGAAAAAAGGAATACAGAGAAAGGGAGAGAGAGAGAAGGGGGGGAGAGAGAGAGAGAGAGAGAGAGAGAGAGAGAGAGAGAGAGAGAGAGAGAGAGAGAGAGAGAGAGAGAGAG